CGGATTCTAACCGGATATCTACTGTAAGCACACCTTTACCTAATTTGTTTGAACCACGAAACCCTTTTTCCTATTTTAGAGATGTTTAATTGCAAGATACTGTGACTTTGTTATTTAAAAATACATACTTAATAAAAGATATACTAAGGTCGGTAACACAAATCCTACCGACAGGAAATAACATCCGGAAAAAGTTAATAATGTTGCGATTACGAAACCAGTGTATTTAAATGCATCAGCTGAAGTAACCGTGAGAAATTGCTTCAATTTTCCTACAAAAAACAGTCGTTGATTGACATTCATTTATCAACAAAATGATAAATTGTTTCGACACAATAAAATATCGCCGGAAATAATTGACTAAGTGAACCGTGTATAATTCAGTTGTAATTTGTTTAACTCCAAAATAATTGGTATTTAATTGACTAACAGATCAATCTCCTCAATAATTACTGAAAGAAAACTTTTTAGTAATATTCTGATACAAAAGTCGCATAATTTTCGTTTTACTTTGGTTAAGGCTTTTTTTTATTTGAAATAGAATCAACGGGCAAAGCTGTCGTTGTTAATAGAAAAAAGACAGTAGCAAAGTCACAAAATAAGTTTGAGTTCCAAGCGTATACTCTTCTTTTGTATTTTGAGACATCGCTGTTGCTGCTTACTGTAATACAAAATTTTTCTCATCTGTGCAGAGATCAATCGCACACAAACTCATGGATTTGGCAAATTCGAAGTAGAGTAAAGTGCTGATCATAAACAAAGGATTCCATTATTTGTTTTAGTTATCTTTTTATCTTCGACTTAAAAAACTAGCCTTGGGAAAGATCAACAATGTAAGCTAAACGTTGGTTGTAGTTTGTAAATAATTAAAAACGTTTAAACCACTTGGTCATTTGATTTCAAACTCACTGATTGATATATCAGAGCACAGCTCAATTACCTGGGTCTGGTAACTTGAAATTTTGTACCGACGTTCCTTATCTATCGTAGACGAGCACTAAGAAAGGATTTTTTAAATTCAATCCTTAAAAGAGTGAAGAGGGTTCAAAGATTGATGTATCAATCAAGGCACATCCCTCGCTGTGTCGGTCCACTATGAAATAGGGTGAAACATGAGTTAAAAGTTTAGTACAATATCAAATTATAAAAAAATGTACAGAGTTAAATGCAATATACTAACTGCTGGTCAATATGCGCCAAGCCTTACACAAATGCTCAGAGATACTTCTACAACCTTCTTTTAATTGAGAAAAATTATTTTCTTTTATTTTCAAAAAATTGGCATAGTTGAGCACATCGGGGATGATTATTCACACAATAATTACATTGTCCTAAAATAATACCTCTCGAACGAGTTTAGATATGAAGCAATAGCTAGTATGTATTTTATTTTGTTTTCATACGTTAGAAATCATTTTTAAAAAACACGAGCACTGATTAATCAGTTTTATGTGCTACAAATTGAGGCAATTAAAAGAACGCTTATTATAACGTCTACACCTGCGAGATTTCTGTCAAAAAGTTCTTAGGTATTTAATCCTATTTCGAAATGTCAAAACAGACGCTCAAACTGCAAACTGGTAAATGACACGGTTAGTAAATGTTTTAACTATTGTTTTACTTAATTAGCATCTAGTAAAATAAGGGGGCGAGAGAATGAGAGGGGTTAGAAAACCTTTCCCTTGAATAAAGGAAATACAGACATCAAACAAAATTTGAAGAAATCAATTTTTGAGATTTCTCCATTACATTTTGCTTTTATATACATGAGTTACCTGGGTGTAGATGAGGCTTGCTTAAATATTCCATGGGAAGGGGGTGGTAGCAGTACCAGGGGGAGAGAGAATAAGAGGGGTTGGAAAACTTTATCCTCGAAGAAAGGAAGTACAGATAACAGACAAAATTTAAAAAAATTAAAATCATTTTTGAGATTGTTCCATTACAGTTGGCTGCCTTCGAACGCACAGAACGCGTTTTGGCTGTTTTTAAACGCTCGCAACGCGTTCTGGTAACTGTTAAACAGCCGGAACGCGTTTTGTCAATTGTTGAACGCTCACAAAGCGTTCTTAATGTTCGACTTGTATTATTTGCCGCTTTCTACCTGCGTACAATGAGATTTATATTGTACTTATAAAACAAATGAATTTCAATCCATTTTTCAGTTTTTAGGAAACAATTCAAT